GAACAGGCGATAAGTGAAATAACGTCAAAGCGCCAATGGGTGAGACAGAGGACCAATCTGAATAAGATTAGGCAACTCCATCGATAGTAATAGAACAGGGTGAGTCAGACCATATCAAGGTCAGGGACAAGTCACGAGTGTGGTGGGTGAATGAAGAAATGGAACGGACGAAAGGTGTATGTCTGATGATCGACAATGCGTACGGGTCAAGACAATGACGCATGAGGGAGAGTTGACGAGACAGATTGGTGGGTGGATCGTGTGGAAGATGGCAAACAGATTCAACAAGCATTATCACTGTACAACCAAATATACTAATACAAACTTCGCTACTCGATGTCAAGCTCAAAATGTGTGTAAGGTAATTATGATTAGGTGGATTAGGAATTGACCTGTTTTGCAGGCAGCGAAAATTACTTGGATCAGAATGGTCATTATACTAAGCACATTGTTTAATTGTGCATACAAACCTCTTTAACCACCGGCGCTGATAAGAAATGACAACCATAGCGTCACTACTGTCGTTTCGCTGTCATATCCTCCGGTGTATCCAAACAACCAGTTACGGGTTCCTTTAGACTGCATCCTTGAAGACGAACTACATCTATTCCACCTGATCGCTCCGTGTTCTCCTTCACGTCATCTTTTGGCTTCCACGTGATTTCTTCGGTCCGAAAGCATTATGCAATAAGCGACTACCAAGTTTACACAGTACGTATGTTGGTTAGCCAAGCCCACAAATCTGAATTCAATGTGATAACGCCTTTTCGATTCAACCATTCCGAAATACATGACCCCTAGAGCTTATTAAGTCTCACTCCATTATACCTGCACCAAACTACGCACAGATTTTTGGATGTCTGTCCCACTCGCAATCGCATCAATTGGTCTGCCATCCTTTAGTGATACAACTAACTAGAAATGAAAAATAATCAATTATAATCATCTCCTAATCACGTAAAGATGATCGATAGCTAATGTGGCTTGCATCACTTTTCATGTTGGTCTTTTATTAACAAGGTGATACTGAAATTTATCAAATCCACTCGAACGTTGACTGTAAGCACTCGAGGACATGACCGAGCGAAGCAAGCAGTAGAGTCTTTACATTATTTTCGCTCTTTTCGTCTTGTCGTACTTTGCGTTTGTCCATTAATAATAAACCACAACCCAAAACGCAGCACTCATGGGCTTGGTGATTGTTCCTAACGAGTAAACTAAATTTTCTGTCGAGAACATCAGTCTTCTCGTTTCAGTAGTTTCCTGTCAAACCGTTGACCGATACTCACTTTCATCCGCAAACGCAGGATTCATCAATTTGTTTAACAGAAATAGCGAGTTCCCAGCTGCTGGCTGCTCGAAATCCAGATCGACAAGCTTTGGTCATACCACATCGAGTACATAATCGATCCGCATAGTTCAAATAACTATAATATTCTATCGATCAGATGCAGTTACCTGGATACCCTCGAGTTAAGCAGAGCTGAATGCTACCAAGCGCGTCCCTGGGTTGTGGATAGGGGATACCTTCACTGAAGAAGGTTGGTCGTGAATAAGTTGTGGCACACCGCAACAAATAAGCACTCGCTAAAAAACAGCTGTGGCACTACCAGGGTGTGATTGGTTTCAGGCTGATCACCTGGCTCCTGTTTAAAACCTACATAGGCCTAATGACGGTGTCGTGAGAAAAGTCGATGTGACTGGCCTTTTATAAGACTAAAGCCATTGACCCCCTCACTTCCAAGGCGAGGGATTACCTCCTGCTGCCTTGCAGTTCGCATTTGGTTGTGCAAAGGCTAGAGGTGCGCCGATATCCAGGGGTGTGACCGGGTTGGTGAACCACTAATAGTTCACCTAGGAGAGTTAACCAAAAACCCTGATTCCAAATCAACCATAAGGAGGCGTAAGAATCACACACACACAAAACTTACTGGTTGTGGCGGAGGTCACCGGCTCAATTGGGCATCAAGGTGTACTGGGCACCTTGGAATTTTGACCCCCCCCCCCCCTAAAGGGCGTATGATCTGATGAACTGGACATCGGCCTCCAATGGATTGCGGTTACGTATACCGTCGATGTCATATGTGAAGGATATTTCCGAGCTTGTCGAAGAATTTAGACCGTGAATTTACTGTTCCACGTGAACTCCAATCACGATTTTCATGTGGAGGAGGAATGATTTGATTTTTTTTCTCTAATGATTCACCAGTTCTATTCGCTACCTGTTTTCCTGTGACTCTGTTCCAGGTTAAACGGGGTCTTGAAAGTCTTTGCAAAAAGGTCGAGAAGCATCTGTCTGAAGAATGCAATTTGTTTCAAGTGAGTCACTAGCGTGGTTATCGTTAATGCTTGTCGTTTGTCGCGGTCTTTTCACTTATTCACAAGGAACGCTACAGGTCCTCTTGTTAAAACCACAGACAAATCAGTTTGATCAATATCGTCTGCAAGCCCCTCATAGACGTCATACTCCGTCGATTGACATTCGTAAACGGTGCACACATGAGAACCATGCTGGGTATAAATGCGGTCGAGATCTTATCGACCACATTTTCACTACTCGTCGAATGGTGGATAACATATAGTCCTTTCGTAGACCCGCCATTTCTTTTTTCCTTGATCTGAGAGCGGCCCTCAACTCGACCGCATTGAACTCCTGCCTTTGAAGGGTGTGTCAGAGAGGTTCATTTCAGCATAACAATCCTTTTGTTCTAGTGACCAAAGCCATGTTGAAGCTTATGACTCTTCACCGTTGGCTAGAAACACAGTGAAGTAGCAGTGTGTCGTGAACGGAAGTGCTCGTGCATTTCTGATTTCTTCGCAACACTAGCCTATTTAGATTGTCTTTTCTTGTCTTGATACCGCTGACAACATTACAATCTTCCCTTGTTAGCCAAAAAAACAGCAACCGAAACCGCCGCACAAAATATTTGTGGGTAGTAGTTGCATAAACTGATTCATCTTGCATACCATATAATGCTGGGGAAACAGTAGTGTTATTTACTTACTACTGACTGACGGGATGTTGCAATATCCTTATCACATGTAGCCCGCCTGCATTTTATCGTGAAAACTGTGGCTTGTGCACCGGGGCAGCGAACTATTTCCCTGTTACTCACGTTATTTTTTATACAACTTAATTGAAGAATTTCGTCTTGGATTTCTCTTTTCTGTACATTTTTGTCCAGGTTGTATGGCGATCCATTCAGAATGAGTTTCTTGATCAATGCGGCCGTTTCAATGTGTTAATTGATCAGTGCTATCCGGATTCAAGTATCACCCTAGAGTTCACTCGAACAGATTTGGAGAACTACTTCCGTGAGATCGCCCCACCTCGCTGAGCGTCGTCTTGTGCGTGTTCGCTAATCCTGACCTCATTACCCAGCCCGGAGCCTTCCGTCTGCTTGTCACTTGATATTTTGGACAATCAACTGGAGTATTGTGTGTCTGCGGTTCTCTTCTCTTTTAAATGCGTATCCGTGAACGTTGGTCACGTACCGGGCGTCAGAAATAATTCGATTTATTCTCGCTTTTTTTAATTATTATCATACAGATGATTTTCAATTCGCTAACTTGATTTCTTTTCAATTTCCCATTGTTTGTACATAAATATATGTTCTAATCTGGCCAGTCCCCTGAATTACTTATACGTTTTTCTCCCCTTTGGAATCCGCCTTCAATGAGTTTGGGGATAGAGTGTCTGATGTGGAGAGTGAGGATAAGAATCGCGTGGGTTAAAACCCATGTGAGCAGTGGTAACCTGAGTAGCCTAAAGCTTTCAGAGCATTTTCTGCCTAGTGATTGGGATTCTCGGCTCCTATCCTGCGAGTTTTATTTCACGACATCACTCCTAAAGTAGCATACTTCTAGAGTGACCTCTCGGTGTCCGCTGATCAAATGCTATGGGTTTTCTTAAAGGAAATACGCTTCATTAGCTCCGACAACCGCACTTCAGTGACTATTGTAAGGCGCAATGCATCTTTGACCGATTCCTGGTTCAAACCGATTTTGAGCTATTCAAAATTTCCCAACTGAAATTCACGAATTCTCCATTCAAAATCGTGTTTTCTCACGTCTACCTGTGCTGTGCAGTGACATAACGTGCCGTTATGTCTCATGAATTATACTTACTGGCTAAATATGCACACCTAGTCGGGAGTTTTTCCGACGTATGTTGCATCATTTGAGGCATTACCGTATTTTCACACGTCGCTCGCAACGGACCCGGGGCCTCTGAGTTCGCCGTTCCATTTCATCCGCATAAATTGCACTATTTTCGTAAATTTATTCAGCATCAATCGCATATTTATCAATTTCAAGGGCATCTTATACGAGCACGTTTATGAAATCGCCATGTGGTATCGGACGAACCAAACATTTATGAAAACTTGTGATGAACAGCAAACGGGGTATACCCCACAACCACGAGGATATGTTGTTCAATGACGGAAACCGGGACTTGGAATGGCGAACCACCTTAAGCCCCGCTAGGTTAGGTGTGGTAATAAACCGGACGACTGCAAAGTTGGGTGGTGATGGCGGGGCTCGGAATTAGGGTCCGGAGTATGTCAGTGACCGTGACTAATAAGCCACTGCGATACCACCCGAGTAATCAAAAACGAGTCGGTATGCTTACAATCTGCATCAGGTTACTTGACAGATAGGCTCATCCTGAACCCATACCAACGCACAATTTATCATTGCCCTTGCACATTCGGTAAGGTGAGAAAGCTGCCGATTAAGAATACTTCCAATAAGTTGACTGTTCGATCTTTAAATGAATACCTGCTCCGGAGTGATTTAACGCGGTCTGCTGAAAACCTCTAAAAACACCTCCAGATGCAGTGACTTCGCTAGGGAAACCCTTGTGGACTCTATTATGGAAAATTTGGTTTCCAAGATACTCTCAGACACTCATTCCATTGCATGCCAAACCTACAAACGCTGAATCTACATTCTCAACACGCTCAAGATATTGATTGATTTGAGTCGCTTCTATTAAAGCCCATCAGTAGTGCATGTCCACCGTCCCGTCCGGGATTTGAACCCCGAACCCATCGCATGGAAGGCGTGTGTGCTACCACTGTGCCAACCAGCTTCCGAGTTCAATCGGTGAACTGAGATTGTGCGTGAAGGTGAAGCCCGAAGGATAGTCAGTCAAATCAATCAATTATCCCACGCACTACTCACAAGTAACTGAGTCAAATACGACGCTCAAGATGCTTTTATCTCCATAGGCCTATTCATATCATAATTTTGTTTTGACAACTCGCACGTCTACTTGTTGATAAGGTGGGTTTCCGCATAACAGCTGGCTTTACTGACAAATTCGATATATAATTTCAATTTGTCTGATTTTATAAATTTGCATTCACAAACATGGCGTAACTGTTGGAAAATCGCCCATCTAGGTGTACTAAGATACCACTGTTGAGTTGGCCTTGTTGCTCTCCGCGAAGCTCCACTGAGGCTACTACTAACATGCAATAGAAGTAATTCGTAAGGGGACAGAATTTACTTTTTAGTTGATTCCTGAGGCTTTGGCACTTACATTGATAGAAAGCTCCTTTAAAAAGCCAATCGAGTTGGTCCACTTTGCAATACACATGAATGTATGAGGGAGTCTTGTTTGTCATATTGAGGTGGCAGTGAACCATAGGGTGAAAATTTATGGCACCATCTTGATGGCTCGAACGCGTGGGGATCCGCGATATGCACGAAACGGTTCGAATAACCGACTTCTGTGGGTAGATGTAAGAAATCCAGCACTCATATTCACTCCTGTGATTTGTCTCAACCCACAGTATACCTGGAAGGGTCTGAAGCAATGGAAGCTGTTCACTCAAGAAATGTGCTATTTCCGAGTGCACATTTGGGATCTCAGATATGCCGAATCATAGGAACCTCTCCGATAGTGTGGTGAGATGTTTCTTCTCTGAGATAGGGACTTGATCGATCAGGAACCTTTCTTTTGAATAGGTGTGAGCTGGTAAGCACTTCACAGCTGTTTCAACCTGGATGGGTCTCATCAGCAGTGCGAATCCATCGACCTAACTGGGAATCGGACCCGGGACCTCACAGGTAGAACGCGAGCATTTCATCCACTAGACCACCGAGCATCTGATCAGACCGTTTCTTATTTTGAATTTACATGATATAGCTATCCCGTCGATGCGAGATTGTTGCGAGTATCCGGCTTCGCTCATCTCAGCACTAGCCTCCAGGGATATGACTTGGTTGGAAACTTCCACAACCTATGAGGACTGATACTCGCAACAAACTCGCGTAGACGGATTGTGCTACATCTGTGAGCTCCCGGGTTCGATGGATTCGCACTGCTGATGAGACCCAACCAGGTCGATACAGCTGTTCAGTGCTCCCCAGCTTATCAGCTCACACCACATTTACACGATGAATTCTCCATCCAAACGTATCAAATCCTCCATTTCTCCCATGTAACCCTCGTTTTGTGGTTCTAATCCAAGTTAGTGGTCGGTACGTCGAATGGAATTGAATCGTCTACCATTCCGTTCTAAAAGAATTCTTTTATTATGAAACACATTTTCTGTCATGTAAAACAGACGGACTGGACCCCACAGACGCTATTCTGTGATGGAAACCGGTAACCCAAGCCAATAGGATAGGAATCAGTGTTAGTCGATGAAGAAACTTTCCTTAACGGGTCTGCCGAGAATTTTGTGAATGGTCCATCACTACTCATGAGTAGCCATAGCGGATAACGAAAAGATGAAATATGTGTACTCGAACATACTACAGTCAATCTCCTGCTATGTCGCACCCCTGAGAAGTCGCATTTTCCAATATCTTCCCACTTTTACGAAAACCCAAACCAATCGTATGCCTGATAACTTACTCTCTAACTATGCGATGTCGCACCCCCCAATATGTCGCAGTTCCTGATACGTACTCACTTGGTCGTTGACCGATGTTCGGGACGACCATTGACCATCCACCCTGAAATGTCGCACTCAACCAATGGCGTTGCACCTATTGTGACGCGCCCATCGTACTGTTCACTGATTGGATAATCCCAGCGAGCAAGTCACACCGATGCAAGCGATCGGAGACACTGTCATTTGACGTACTTCGATGAGGCTGCAACTGTCTTGGTATTCCTTATTCCGAGATTTGCACGGTATCAAAAATACAAAAGGTTTAGTAGTTTTGCTCATTAAGGTCCGAAAGGAATCAACCTAATGTACTACCAAAAAATCAATGAACATTCTCTAAACAAAACAATACTTGACACTTGATGTACCTGGCAAAGTTGTCACCATCGGTAGACCTGATCGACAGTCAGCTCCAAGTAAACTTTTTTATTTCGTTGAATTTTTAAATAAATTAACATGGAAGTTTCCTGTTAAATATACAACTCAAAAATGTATAATGTACATGGGTCAACATTATCTGAAAACCTCAATTTGTTTATATGTTCAGTCATTTTTGTGAACTGAATTCGTTACACCCGTCGTGGATGCAGTAATTTCTATCACATATTGAAGGAGGATCGTGTATTTAATAGCTGCAAGACCGGAAATTGTTGGCAGAAAATCGTGACTGCGTCTGCGGTCACGGTATAAACCTACAGGAATCGGCCAAGGCACTCGATGGATTTCTTTTACGCTGCTGTCGGTGCAAGAAAACCGTTTCAATTCGAAAGGGCACGTCCTTCGAGAATTCCCAGATATCTTTATGCCTGCTCGTGGGATGTATGACCGATTCGAAGGTAAGGGATACTTCGAAAAAGCAGACAACCGATCGACAAGTACACTATTGCCAATAATACAACTACGGGTTATACCTGGTACCATCGAATGAATGGGCAGCCTATCGAACGCTGTCGTCTTTGGGATAGAAGTGCTAGGACACATCAACCAGGCGACAGGAGTCCACACCAACATGGAGCCGGGTAAGGAGGACTGAAGGCAGTTTCCGGCTCCGTTGGTGATTAGGTAGGAACACCTGTGCCTATTGATATTTTACTTTCAATATTTTTGTTTATTACATTTTTATAAACGGTTTCTCGTCCTTTGTTCATTGAAATGGAATCATGAGTAATCAGCTTATGATTGCGAATGTAGCCGGGGGTGGTGACAGTCGATCAGGTGTACCCCACCATTTGCGAAAATATGCCGATCACGAGTGTTGGATAGCAACTTCTCATTACGATCACCTCTCTAGCCTGGACACGGTTATAAACCACACTTTCATTCATTACTCGTAAAATTGAACATTAGCAAAACTAATGGATTTGGCTCGTCTGTTGTTCGCACTAGTGATTTATTAAAGCCTGAGCACAAATTACGGAAAACATTCAATC